ATATATATATAAAATGTAATGTGTAATTTAATCCACAATATAGTGGATTTCTGAATGGGATGCAAGATACTGAGGTTGGGGCCACTGACTCCCAAACTAAAGACTGGAAGGGAAAAAAAAAAAACAGTTTCCTTGCATTCTAGCCAGGGGTAAGAAGGTAAGAGGACCTAGTTGGAGAAACGGCTGTGAAGATAACTCAAGTTTCTGCGATAGGCCAATTTGGACTCGGGGAGGAGGGAGGTGTTTAATAGCTGGGACTCAAATACAGATCTGATTCTAATGCCCACCTAACCCAAACCCCAACTGTTGCTGGAGTAGACTTTATAAATTTTTATGTTATAATATCCTATTTTTACAAACATGATTTCCCTTTTTTAGAGGAAACAGTGCTGCACTATGCGGTAAGAGTCACAAAAATAGGTTCAATTCTAATTTTAAGAATTTATTATAAGGAAATAATTTAGAAAAGCAATAAGCAAGAAGATACTGCAGCATTATAATAGGAAAAAGCTGAAAACAATCTAAATGTTTCATAGTTTAGTAAATTAGTGTATATCCACATGGACTTTGTATAGCTGTTAAAAATTATACTGACACTAAAAGTGAAGAAAAACTGAATATACAATGGTAAATTATAACTGCATCATATTGAAATGATACTGTATGTTTTGGAAGGTAAATAAGTAAAAATCGAAATTGTAGGAGGAATATTTACTCATGGATGTGTTCCAAGATTTAGCTATGAACATGGTTTATATGTAATGTTGAAAAACTAGGAACAACCCAAGTGTCCAACACAATAGGTGCTTGGTTGATGGCTAAATACTATGTCCATTAAAAATTAATGTATAAGATTTGGGGGTGCCTGGGTGGCTCAGTTGGTTAAGTGTCCCACTTCGGCTCAGGTCATCATCTTACACACAGTTGGTGTGTTCAGGCTCCACGTCGGGCTCTGTGCCGACAGCATGGAGCCTGGAACCTGCTTTGGATTCTGTGTCTCCCTCTCTCTCTGCCCCTCCCCAACTTGCACTCTGTCTCTGTCTCAAAAATAAACATTAAAAAAATTTTTTTAATTAATGTAGAAGATTTAGCGATATAAAAGTTGTTTATCGTGTAATAAAGTAGAAAAGGCAGGTTGCAAAATAGTCTATAATATACAAATATGTATATGTACAATGACTGGAAGGGTAAATGTTGACTATTTTCTAGTGGTGGGTCTTTGGATTTTTTTTTTTAGTTCTAAGTTTTCTATATTAAAGTTATGTTTTATAATAGATGCCTTATTAATGAGAAACATAAGATTGATGAAATGATATAAATAAGATTCAAGTCTTGGCTTAAATGTCAACTTTCCAGTTAGACTTCTCTCACAGATGTATTTAAAATTTCAGTCTAGGGGTACCTGGGTGGCTCAGTTAACCGGGTTAAGTGTCCAACTCTAGATTTTGGCTCAGGTCATGATCTCACGGTTGGTGAGTTGGGCTCCACACTGGCAGTGGGGAGCCTGCTTGGGTTCTCTCTCTCTCTGCCCTTTCCCAGTTCACTTTCTCTTTCAAAGTAAACTTTCAAAAAAGTAAATAAAATTGCAGCCTTACTTCCTTTTTAAAATGTTTACTTTGAGAGAGAGTTCACACTCATGCAGGCAAGCAGGGGAGGGGAGAGAGCGGGAGAGAGAATCTCAAGCAGGCTCCACCCTGTTGGACAGAGCCCAACTAGGGGCTCAATCTCAGGATTTGTGAGTTCATGACCTGAGCCAAGATCAGGAGTCAGATGAAATCAAGAGTCAGACACTTAACTGACCGAGCCACCCAGGCACCCTGCAGTCTTATCCCTTTCACTTCCTATTCACTCCCCCCTCTCATTTTTCTTTATTTTCCAGTAGTACTTATTTTTTATTAAGTACTATATAATTATGTGTATTTTGTCTTACTAGAAGGTAAGCACAACTGAAGTCAAGAATCTTTGCTTTATTCATTGATGCGTCCCAAGCACCTATAATAGTGCCTAGCAAATAGTACACATTCAGTGAATATTTGTCGGGTGAGTTAGTGAAATATATTTCAATTTGTGTGTGTGTATACATATATATATGTATATATGAAAACTGGTCAATAACGTATAAACAGGACAGTTTTCATTTTGCTTGCCTTCTGTTCTTGTCTACATTCATGTATTTATTTATTTATTTATTTTTAATTTAGAGAGTGGGAGCAGGGGAGAGGGGCAGGGGAAGGAGGGAGAGAGAAAGAATGAGAATCCTACACAGCCTCCACACAAAGCATGGAGCCCAACATGAGACTCGATCCCACAACCTGGGATCATGACCTGAGCTGAAATCAAGAGCTACCCAGGTTTCTCATTCATATCTTTGAAAAAAAAATACCCTTTTCCTCTTTATTAAACCTTTCCCTTTTAAAACATCAAACATTTTTCTTGTTTACATAGTCTTCATTATTTTTAATGCTGTATAACATCCCATTGAATAGATGTACCATAATTTATTAAAAACCATACCTCTAATTTTTTTTTTTAATTTTGGGTATTTTAAGTCATTTTGTTACTGTAAAGGTCATTGAAGTGACTATTTCATGGATGTGGTTTTTAAATTTTAAAATTATATTCTTAGGATAAATTTCTAGGAGTAGAACTTCTTAAGTTACAGAATATTAACATCTTGATAGCTCTTTTTTTTAATGTTTATTCATTTTTGAAAGAGAGAGAGCAGGGGAGGGGCAGAGAGAAAGGGAGACAGTTTCCAAAGATGGCTCTGTGCTGACGACAGAAGGCCCAATGGGGGGCTTGAACTCACAAACTGAGAGATCATGACCTGAGCTGAAGTTGGACGCTTAACCGACTGAGCCACCCAGACACCCCAACATCTTGATAGCTCTTATTATTGTCTTACAAAACAATTTGTGGATATAGAATTTGATAATTGTTGTTTCTAGTTTTGGCGGGATATGATGAAATATATCAGGAAAGTTTTTATATACATAAAGTATTGTCATGTATCCATCATCCAAAATCAATAGTTATCAAGACATTGTCACATTTTCTTTGAGAAATAGTTTTCCTTATTTTAAAGGATTCATATCGGGGCGCCTGGGTGGCTCAGTCGGTTGAGCGTCCGACTT